TCAGGATTTCACTACTTTCTACATTGACTCTGTCTAAACAATTTGGTATTCACAACCTGTATAATTTTTCCTGAGCCTGGGCATATGGACTTCAACACCCAGAAATCTGACCAAGGCACACTTGTTTGGGAATTCTGGGAATTTTTAGTTGTCCAGAATATGTAAGCTGGAGAAAACTGATTTATATTAAATTCAGAATTTTTGAATGAAAACGTGAATCCCTTGTAGTTGCATTTACTAATTGCTGCTCTCACTCACTTTGGAAGAGGTTTTTTTTTTTAACCTTGAGCTTCCCATAGTGGCCAGTCAATTGTATGTAATGAGCAAGTTAGGTTAACATAAGAACCACAAAATTCCTACTTTTGTAGTATCCTTATGTAACTTCCTGGGGGAAATGTTCTTTTTTTCTAATCTTGAGCATTGTTTTAAGACAGAAATTTAATTTGAGTCTGTTCTTCAATGCAATTCATTTCAGGAGGAAGATGGTACTGGAGGTGACCAGGATCAGGAGGAACGACGATGGAACAAGAGAACACAACAGATGCTTCATGGTCTTCAGGTATTAATTCATTTTTGATAATGTGTGAGAGGTTCTTATTGACTATCATTTGTCTGCTAATTAACTTATATTTTTCTTCTGTGGCTAACAAGATGCTTTCAGGCAGCCCATAACAAAACACAGAGACATTAACCCTTACTGGGGCTCTGTTTTGAACACATGGAACTCTGGATATAGTTAGAAAAACTGGTCTGAAACCCCGAAGGGCCACTGCTGAGGTAGATAAACCAATAATTGGATTTTAAAAATTCCTTGTGTGTCCCCTGCAGTAATTATTGTAGGAAATTTAATATGAAGAAGTAATCCCTAATTAAGTCAGGAACACAAATCTCTCTGATTTTAGACATTTTTAAATCAATCAATTCAGACTGCCCAGATACTTGGCAACAGTGATTGGCAGCTACTTGGATTCAGAGTGGAAAAGTGTTTCAGGGGCTTATATGTAGATTTAGTATTGTGCTGGTATCTCCTTAAAAAGCCATGGCTGCACATCTTTACTCATTAAGGCTCCAGTGAGGATTTTCTTATATTTTTCTGTATTGAACTTGTGAATGCCTCTTACGTGGAAGTAGCATTGTTTATCCTAATTTGAGAGTGTGTTTGGTTCTAGTGTGTTTTTCTTAATTCAATAAAGGTTTTCACAATCTCTTTCACTAAATGTCTTTCACTAAATATCTTTGTCTCCTGAAAATCTAAGCCAGGGGTGTCCCACCTTGGCAACTTTAAGACCTGTGGCCTTCAACTCCCAGAATTCCCCACCCAGCTATGTTGATTGGGAAGTTGAAGTGCACAGGTCTTAAAATAGCCAATGTTGGACTCCTCAATCTAAGCTTTGCGGGCTGTAACTGGGTGCAGGAACTCTTCCAGTAATAAACATAAATTCTCTTGTGATTGCTTGGCATTAGCAAACATTTAGAATGAGAGTTAGAAATTATAATGGTTAACTATTTTGTATTTTCAGAGAGCCCTTGCCAAGACTGGAGCAAAATCTATCAGTTTGCTTGAGTTGTGTCGGAATACAAACCGCAAACAAGCAGCAGCAAAATTCTACAGTTTTTTGGTACTGAAAAAGCAACAAGCTATCGAGTTGACACAGGAAGAACCATATAGTGATATCATTGCAAGTCCTGGTCCCAGATTCCATATTATTTGAATAGTTGGCTTACTGTATAGTTAGCATCATTAGTTCTCACATTGTACTATGTGCAGGACCCATAAGGGAAGAAATTTAGGTTTCATTGTCAATGTACAGTAATTGATTTTTTTGTGTCTGGGGAAGGGTTTCTATTTTACCACTTTTGCATTTCTAGTAACTTTTCTGCACTGGATGACTTGAATTCCAGCACAGAGATGAGAAAATACTCAAGGATCTTCATGAAAAGTTTTTTTTAAAAAAAAAACCTAGTTCAAAGCAGTTTTGTGCAATAATGGTAAATCTAACTAGGACTAATAATTTTTTTCCAATATATTAATAAACCAGAATATTATTTTAATTAACACCAGAAGACCCAATAATGGCCAACTTTTTATTTCATGACTGATTTGCCAAATAGACCTAACATTCTGAGCTTTTTTCCCCTGTGTGAGTTATTTTTGCCTGCCCTTTGTTTGCATCAGTGTTGGTCATCTTCCTACTACCAAATGGTGGTTTTTGGAGCTGCCATGGTGAATGTCAGTGCCTAGTAGTCAGGAGTCCTTGCTGTGCCATGTTTTCTATAGAGTAATTGAAGCAGCTCTAGGACTTAAATGCAAATGGGTACCCATAGGGAAAAAAGTGGGGTTTTTTTAAAAAAATTGGGGCTTCATGTGCAAAACATTTCTGGTAGTAGATGTTACATTCCTTTTCAGAGTGGTCCACCTCTGGCATCAGGTAGCTGTGAGGGCAGGTTAGTTTGATGAAGCTTTTCCTCACTTGAAATTAAACCTCTTTAAGCATTTACCTTTCTTAGGAGATTGTATGTACATGAAATGTCATACATTTAGATTATAAGTAATTTGGTTTTTGGAAAGTGATAACTAGGTGGGTCTCGAGTCTGAGCAAGATAAAATTGTATAAATTAATAATTATGTGGGATAGCATTGGGCCTAAAAAGACAGCAGGCTTCAGATGTATATTTTAGAAGCAGGTAAACTTGCATTTATTAAAAGTAATCTTGTTGTGTAATAAGTATTAATAGACCTGGCTACCTTTACAGCTTTTGTAATGGGATGTTTTCCAATAATGGACACTGAATAGCTTTTCAAACAACCCCATTTGGTTTTTTACTATTTTTTTAAAATAAAGACTTTATTATTATAACTAGAATCAGGCCAAACCAGAAATCATGTGAATGTGGATGGATAGATGTTAACATTTCTTAGCAAAATTTAAAAAAATATTAAAGGTTCTGATTTTAAATGTTGGCACTTTTGTGAAATGATTAAACGTTTGAGACTGAGATTCAGTATATGCCCAAGTGTAAAATTATGTGAATGTTTTAAAATTTGCGGTGTTTAATAACGCTTGAGAAATGATAATTGTATAAAATAGCTACTGCAACTTTATTTTTGACATGATGTGCCTGTACAACCATGATTTTCTCCCTTTGTACAAAGAGACATTGTAGATAACCTGAATGTTTGATTATAGAGAAGGTCATTAGTTTCTTGTTAAAGATTGTTAGTCCATTTTTGTTACTTTTCAAGGTTAATATTCTTGAAAATAGTTGCTGTTATGTATAACTTTTCTAATAAAAATTGTGTTAAGCCATTATATAGTGCCAGTTTCTCTAGTATTTGGTTATATTGTGGGAAGTAATCTCCATATTAGCTAATAAGCAGTTAAAAGTGTTCTGAAAAGCTAAGTTATCAAGGCATATATGCTGGAAGCAACACAATACATTAATTAGACAAATGAACTTTAGCAAAATTCAAGCAAAAATTATCAGAATGGGGAGCCTATATGTTTCCTGCTGTTCCTAAACTACAGCCCAAAATCATGTTGATTGGGAATCCTATGCAATGTAGCCCAATATCTGGAAGTCCATAAGTACTCCACCTCAGATTATAATGGAAATAAAACAAAGAATTTGCTATCACTATGATAACCTATAATTTAGAAATCAAATTTGACGGTATATTAAAAGCACAATGCATTAATTTGCACATACAGAAGGATAGCAGCTTTATTTATTTCAGTCTTTGCGGATAGGAGCCTATCAGCATGGCCCATCTTGCCTTGGGAATTTTTGTTCGCTCTTGCAAAAGTGCTCCAAATCTGTCAGATTGGTAGGGCATCTCCTGTGCATAGTCCTCTTCAGGTCATCCCAAGATTTTCAATTGGATCAGATGCAGACTCATTCCAAAACTTTGATCTTTTTCAAAACAAGCCAATCTTTTGTTGGTTTGGAGGCATGCTTTGAATTGCCATGTTCAAAGCTTAAATTCCTCTTTAGTATTTTAAGCAGAGGACTGAAGGTTTTATGCCAAAACTAACTGATATTTGGAGCTGTTCATAATTCCCACCTTGACTGAAACTCCAGTTTCAGCTAAAGAAAGCAAGCCCCAAAAGATAATGTTGCTACCAACAAGTTTTACTGTGGGTGAACTTTTGGTGATGTGTAGCGGTGTTTTTGTGTTAAATGTATGAATTACGGCCAAAGAGTTTAAACTTGGTTTCATTAGACAACATATTTTCCCACATGCTTTTGTCAGATTTGATGTAGGGTTTTGCAAAATTTAGCCTGGCTTGGATGTTCATCTTTGTAAGAAAAGATTTCCAGCTAGCTACCCTACCACATAGCTGAGATATGAAAAATATAATCCAGATAACAGATAATCAGAGTTGGAAGGGACCTTGTAGTCATCTAGTCCAACCCCCTGCCCAAGCAGGATACCCTACACCAGTGGCCCCCAACCTTTTTTGTGCCACGGCCCGGTACCGGCATCACAAAATGATCCGCGGCCCGGTACCAGCATCAGCATACATGACAAGGCAAGGCGAGCCGAGCGACCGGCCGGCCAGCCATCCCCCACTTCTCCCCACCACCTTCAATTCCTCCTTTGTACCTTTGTCGATGGGCTTCGCTTTGGGACAGCTTCAGGACGGTCGCTCGGCTCGCCTTGCCTTGGGTGCTGAAAGAATCCTCGCGCCTTAGTTTCGTTTGAAGCCCCCCCGCTTCGATGAAACTAAGGCGCGAGGATTCCTTCAGGACCCAAACGCCGCTTTCCAACCGGAAAAGCTCACCTGGAAGCACTTTATCGTCAAACAAGATGGTGGCGCCCAGCAAACCGGTGGCCCGGTAGGAAATGTTCAAATTCCCCCCCGCCTCCCCCATTTCGCATGTTTTAAACTAGGCCTAAATTTGGGGGGAGGGGCTTAATTTCATTTTATACCTAGAAAACATGCTGGGTCTTCCTATTTGGGGGTGTGTGTATTGTTGGAGAAACATGGTATATATATTTCAACTGCCATTTTAAAAGATGTACACAATTTCTTTGAAATGAGATGCCATAAACATTGTGAAGAGTTCTTTCCACTTATGGCACCAGCATGAAAACTATTATTTTTTTAGAAAACAAAGTATGATTTATTTTTCAAACAGAATTAACTACATATCCAAAATCTGCAAAATAGAAATGCACATCAACTATTCAGAATAATGTTAGGCTTTCATATCTTGGACAGCTACAGTCATAGTGTCTGATTTCCTTTTACTGCGCTTCCGTTTTCCCTTTTTCTTCGATGTGGAAGACTGTTGGGATTCTTCAGATTTTCTCTTTTTCTTCAGACAGCTGAGAGGATTTGGCCCAGCAGCCCTTTTCCGCTTTCTTCTTTTGGGTTCTGAAGTTTTCACAAGACCTTTTTTCTCTTTCAGAAATGTAATGGTCTGTTTGTGGTGCTCCGGAATAAGCTGGTTTATGTGCATTGCTTGTACTGAATCCAAAGATTTGGCAGAAGGCTTGTCCAGAACCATTGTATTCTGAATTATAAATAGCAGAGGGATTCCAGGCCTTTTCTTTATTTTTGTGGCCAGGTGCTGGTCCTATTTTTTAAAGTAAAACACAAAACAAAGAGTCTGTTGCAAGATGTAGGTGAGTGCAGACTACACAATACAGTTCACAGAACAATAAAAAACTCTAATTATATTCCCTCAGCCCATGATTTGCTAAAATGTAATTAAACTTTTTGAAATATATAATTAGCCTAATATTGTAAGTGTAACAGCTGTAAAGTTAGCTATCACTGTATGTAAAGGTAACACAAGTAGGACAGAAAATTATCTTAACAATTAAAGATAAGTAGTTAGGAAGTAGTGAATTCACTGCAAGAGGATTTTTTTCTTGAAATCTGAAAAAAGTCTAATGACACAGTTATTCAAGGTTATGTATAAGAAAATGAATATTTTTAGTGCAGGTCATAGATAGGACATTTTATTCACATATGTTCAGGTTAAATAAATTTACCTGTGTAGCTATAAAATAATGATGTGGATTACCATCCTCAACCATGGACAATAGGCAGTCTGAACCACTCACTGGATTTTTTAAATGAGAGCAGTTGCGAAGTTGAAATCTCTGTGCAATTAGTTTTGCACCATACAACTGTTTCCCCAAGCATTCCAATTCTTTTAACACACATCTAAAAGAGAAATATGGTAAGAAAAAGAAGCACAAAACTTTATTTTGTATTTTTAAGAAGCCTAATTACACAAGTCTACATCTACAAACAAATCTGCTCATAAATGGCAGATGCCAATATCTTTTTGGAATTCAGGTGGAATCCAACTAATTCCAAGTAAAACATCCAAATCATGACGCACGATTGTGGGGATGCCACAACTGCAAGGCTTGGCGATAAATCTTGTTCAACATCACTGTAACTTTGAATAGTTGCTGAACAAGTGATCATTAAGCAATGACTACCTCTATTTCTTATACTTAAGATGGGATGGAATTTCTTAAAATATATACGGAGGAAGTTAAATATATTCCCAAGAAATTAAATCCTTATGTATCCACTGAGGCAGAAATACATCAAGAAATGAAAAAAAAATCAAATATGATTTCATTATGTTATCTATTTCATCTGCTTTTGGTTTCTTTTATTGTTTATACATGTTTTTTATTCTTGGATTATGAACTTCCTAGAGTTTGATTTAAGATGAGTAGCATGTAAATATTTAAAAAAAGAACATGTACCAATGAACACTATTTGGATTTACAAGTTGCTCAAGCCCAGTGGATGTCAAGTAATTGATATGAAATGAAAGTGTTACATAGTATGTAGCACAGTAACATAAAATGGATACTATCCATTGACCACTGGGTGACTTTGGGCCAATCACCCTCTTTCAGCCCAAAATATCTCACAGGATTGTTAGGAACAAAGCATTTTGTTCTGAGGAAAATGGGAGCAAGGGAGTGTTTACATCAGCTTGAGCCCCTAAATGGAGGCATACTGCATATGCAATAAAAACATTCAAAGTATCACCCACTCCCAATATAGGATGGAGCAGTAAGAAATAATTGAGCAGAGACTTCCATGTGATGGTGAGGATGGGTAGATGTCAAAACAGACAAGATGGAAGTAGCGTCAAGAAGCAAGTCCCATTGGTTTGCACAACTTGCATCCTGATAATGCTTCCACATGCTTGCTTGAGATTTATCCTTAACATAGGCACCTTTGCTATTAACATCTAAGTTGAGGACTATCTGTAATCCAAACGACCCTCCCCAAACGGGACTGGCGCTGAATCAGCGCATGATTCCCACCCCACCCCCCACCCTTTCGCTGCCTCACAGGGACTTCTGCGAGTGGCCCCCCACGTCATTAACCGTTGCCGGCATCTACTGTCCTGCCCCTGCCGCGCGGATCTCTCCCATCAGCCAATCCCAGGCCACGCTGCTTGAAAGAGAGCTCGCGCGGTCCTACCGGCCGGCCATCTACCTACCCAAGAAACAGAGCGCGCCTGCGCAGTTTTACATCGCCTCTCGCGCTCCCGTCAGTTCTCCCTGGCAGCCAATCGAGGCGCGCTCCCCTCAACTCTTCCCCCCCCACTCACCGCGTCGTGCAGAGTGTCGTGGCTCCGGCCAGGTAACCCGGCAACTGCTCGCGTATCTGGATCTTGTTGCGCAGCGCAGCCTGGCAGAAGGTGCCGTCCAGCAGCACCTGGAAAGGTTCCCGGAAACCAAAATTGTGCTTGTAGAAGCCCATGTTCTTCTTGGCATGCTTCTGCCGGGTGACCTTCATAACAGAAGCCGAAGGAGAGTACAGAACAACACCTCACGAAAGCAGGCAGCTACTTCTCTTCCTTTAATCGGAAGTTTGGTTGGTTCGTTTAACGGAAGAAGAGACCTCTCTGACGCATGCGCAGTGTGTTCCTGCCTGAAACACGTGGGCAATAATTCTGAAAACAAGATCCAGGCTGCCAACATTCGGATTGAAGCTGCTGGGCGCAGAAAGTTGTAAAGTGCTCATTTAAAAAATCAGCAATGCAGTTCATATTCAATAAAATAAATGTTTAAAAAGTGTAGCTTTCTGTTGGTAATATAAGCAGGGCAATTATTCATTCTGTTGTACGTTATTGCCGCAGGCAATTGGGAGCAGATACATTATCTAAAACTGGGCTATTAAGTTGGCTCTGACATTGCAAAGCTAACAGTGATATCCGTTAGATTCATTTCTGAATGCCTCCCTTCTTGCAGCAAAAGCAAATCTTGTGCACTTCCAAAACGAATAAAATAATTATAGCCATGCTAGAAGAGAATTCGGGGACTTGCAATCTCAATATACGGAGAAGGACCAAATTTGCTGTGTGTGGGATTTAAAGGGCTTGAAGTTTTTCCTTAGTTCATAATCACTTTTAAAAGGCTCAGAGGACTGCTGGTCGAATGAACTACCGGAATTGTGTAAAGGAAACGTCGTACTCGATCCAAATCGATTGATTGGAGCGCCATTAAGGGATTTTTCCACTCTTAGCGACCCACATAGGCAAGATTTTCTCGCATCCTGCACTGAATAACATTACCCATTTGTGAGGCGCAGCCCGATCATATCGCGTCTTTTACTGAGAAATCAGCACGGGCCCTCCTATCCAAAGGCCGGTTTAAACTGACTTTTGGGCTTCTTGCAAGCGGAACCTTATGTTCCAGGGTCGTGTTTCCAGTCCGTTACCCGGACAATACAGCGCGGCGCAACGAACCCCCTCCCCCCCCGCCTTTTCCCTTCCCGGACGGTGTGCTCGCTGCTTCTTTTCGCCATGGCGTCTCGTAAGGAAGGAAGCGGAGCCGGTCCTTCCGCAGTCGTTAGCGGGAAAGCCAAAGGCAAACCGGGTCCGGGGGACTCGGCGGTGAAGCAAGTACAGATCGACGGGCTGGTGAGCGAAAGGAGAATCCTGGCAGGGATGGAGATGGGCTAGTCGATTGTTTTTTTTTCCCCGGCCATCCGCTTCAGCATCCTGCTTCGGTAGCCCCATTTAACTCTGGTGAATAGGCAACAAGAGCCCTTCTTTACACATGGTTCCTTGAGAGAGGGAGTGAGGAAGGGAGAGAGAGAGAAAGAGAGGAAGGGAGAGAGAGGGAGAGACAGAGAGAGAAAGCGGGAGGGAGAGAGGTGAAATAAAAAAGAGGGCTGTGAAAATATCTACAGACCCCTCACATCCTGGACATAAATTGTTTCAACTTCTGCCCTCGAAACCAGGCTATAGGGCACTGCACACCAGAACAACTAGACACAAGGACAGTTTTCCCTGAATACCATCACTCTGGTAAATAACTAATTCCCACAATGCTGTCAAACTATTTACTAAGACTATTACTATTATTCTTCTCATCCTTCCTAGTATCTATCTCTTCCCACTTATGACTATAACCATGTTGCTTGTATCTCTACCATTTATATTGTTTTATTTGTCTCCTAGTATGATTTGATTGCTTATTAGTAACCTATGACTATCACTAAGTGTTGTATTTTATGATTCTTGATGAATGTATTTTATTTTTTCTTTATGTATACTTTATGTATACATACGCACCAAAGACAAATTCCTTGTGTGTCCAATCACACTTGGCCAATAAAGAATTATATCTATGTGACAATCCAGTACTTGCTTAAACTGCAGAATTCAGCCATTGCACCAAGACTATAAATGCGGTGTGCTTGTTTAATGTTGTAGCCGTGTGAAGAAGATCGGTTGGTTATTAAACTTGGTCTGCGCAACACAGAACAGTCCCAAAGGTGTCCCAGAAAATTATTGCTGAGATCCCACAACTTTCAGATTTTATAAAAGCCCATTTCCATTTCTTCCAAAAGCTTACAATCAGGAAATGTAAATAACTGTATTTGTTTGATTATAACCTTTCATTTATTTAAAAATTCAGGAGAGGGTATATGAGGATATGTATGGAGATTCTCAGTCATCCACATCATAGTTGTCCCAAAGGTGCTTTTTCAAGAGTCAACTTGACTTTCTGGAAGGCATTTCGCTTCTCATCCAGGAAGCTTCTTCAGCCCTGACTGGATGGTGGGGAATGGAAGGATTTAGACTCCTTGCAGGCATCAAAGTCCACATTTTTGACAGAGGAGACCATCAATTTGAAAGAGGAGTCAAAGGGTCCGTCTATGTCAAAATTGAACAGCCTTCTCTCAACAGAAGGGGAGAGATATGACATCATCTATCTCCAGTCTACAACACATTCTTTTGTGAGTAGTTGGGGCCACCTGGAAGTTTATCTTTAGAAGCTTTTTGGATGAGAAGTGAAACGTCTTCAAAGAAAAAGAAGAAAGTCCAGTTGCCTCTTGAATTAAAGCACCTTTGGGATAACCATGACCTGGATGACTGAGAATCGCCATAGGCATTTAACATAGAGCAGCATTTTTCAACCGTTGATGACTTTAAGGTGGGCGGACTTCAACTCCCAGAATTCCCCAGCCAGTGGCAAGTGATGTGTGAACTCAGTTATAATTTACTTGGCAAACTAGGATAAAACATATCTTCTCATGAAGTCAGGCAAAAGATTTATAAAATTATAGAAGAGACCTTGGAAGTCGTCTAGTCTAATTCCATGCCCAAGACAGGTGTCCTTATACCATCTCTGTAAATAACATAACACTTAGACTTATATACCACTTCACAGTGCTTTACAGCCCTCTCAAATTTACAGTGTCAGCATATTACCCCCCAAAATACATTTTACTGACCTTAGAAGGCTGAGTCAACCTTCAGCTGATGAGACAGGAACTGCTGAACTATTGGCAGTCAGCAGAATTAGCTTGCAATACTGCATTCTAACCACTTCACCTCCCTGGCTTAAATGGATGTCCAATATTTTCTTGAAAACCTCCAGTGATGGAGCACCTATCAACACCTGGAGACAAACTGTAAAAAGCTGTTCCATTAAGCTGTTGCTTGATGGTTTTCACTATCAAGAAATTCCTCTTTATTTGCAGTTTGGATCTCCCTCTGACAAGTTTTCATCAATTGCTTCTTGTCCTAACTTCAGGTTCTATGGAGTAGAAATCATTGTCCTTTTCCCTGTGGCAACCTTTCGAAAGTCTTCTCTTCATTAAGCTAAGACATACCCAGTCCTTGACTGTTCTTCACATAATTTAGCTTCCAGGCCCATGTGATTGCAGATTGGGGCCCAGTTATCAGTATGTCGAATCGGTGTCATAAATTATGTTTTCAGGGTCCATTGTATCTTTGAATGGTTGGTAAACAACCAGTCATAAGCCAAGGACCTACCTGTACTGATTAGACTGATGAAGTAATGCTCTCTTGTCAATGATAAACAGTTTTAGTGGTCAGGACATAACAGACAGAATCTTTCAGGGCGAGATCTCTAGATGGTTTTCTACATTATTTCCCCACAAGTGACTTGAGCACTTTTTAGAGTCATCAAGCTATCATTGTGCTAAAAAAAACCCAGAAATACTGAGAACAGATTTTAAATCACATCAGTGATGGCTGGATTGTGCTATGAAGATGCTGTGGTCATTAGTGTTCAAACTGCCATAGTTGGCATGCACATTGTTGTAACATTGAAGGCAGTTCAGCAGGTTGTAAAGGCCTATTTGTCTACATTTGCCTTATATCGGATGAGAATCTTGGATTATTGTATGGGGGATGATTATAGGTTATAATGATTGATTTGATTCTAAACTTAATCTTTTATTATAGCTCATCATACTTGTCTATTTAACTGTACTTTTATGGTGCATTACTGTAAAATATTGCTTTGCGTATATTGCAAGCTGCCATTAGCATTTGACTCTAAAAAGCAGCCTATAAATATTTTAGATAGATTACTGCAGCATATTCATGTTTCATTGAAACACTGATTTTGTGTTGGACGTGAACTAAATCTTAAGATGTGTGTTCTTCAGCCTTTATGATGATATTTATTTGCTTGAGTTAATAAACGAAGAGAAATCCTTTTGTTGTGGGGAATTTAAAATTTAGAGCAGAAATCCCCAATCCCTGTGTCCCAGACAGGTATTGGTCTATGGTCCATTGTGAACTGGGCTATGCAAGTGGTGGGTGAATCTTCATTTGTGTGAATTTTCATTTGCACATGTGTGGGATCTGGGTTGTGCGTAAAACTATCTCCCGACAATCCAGTCCATGGAACTAGAAGATTAGGGACTGCTGATTTAGAGGACATCTAGACTGGGGAATCCTGGTTTAGGACCATATAGGAAAGAGAGTTGAAGATAGAAATTAAAAAGACATGCTGCTTCATCGTAACACAATATTTTGGCAACTATTTCAAAGTTTAGGCTGCTGTTAGGTTTAAAGAAAAATAGATGGGATACTCATATTTAAGATTCATAAAGTGTATGCTTCAGATACAGTCACTTGCTTTTATTCCCCTTCAGACCAATAATTTCCAAAGATCAAATATGTGTATCAGATTTATTATTCCTGTGTTCAGGCTCTCATCTCTAAATTTAAAATGAAATTCAGCTAGAGTCCATTTGAAAAATGGCTTGTGGAAGAATGGTAAGGTAAACTTATGTCACTTAGGTGACTTTTTGAAATAGTTACATATGGAGCTCCTGGGAACCTGGAGAGTCATGTTTTAATGGGCATGAATACTGAATCTGGCATTTCAGGAGTATAAGAGATAGCAGCTACTGATGGCTGAAATTCTAATTCTTCCTTATTCCTGAAATATTGCGTGTATCTTCATTAGATGGTAAAGCAGAAGCTTGGTGACTCGAAGAGATATCAATACTAATGCTTATGTCTCTTGGGTGATATAATTGCTCTATCTTGGCAGTTTTGGATATCAGTTATACTTTTTACTCAGACTTTTTCAACCTTGGGAAGTTTAAGATATATGAACTTCAACTCTCAAAATTTCTAAAGCCTTTCTGAGGAATTCTGGGATTTGTAGTCAATACATCTTAAAGTTCTCAAGGTTGAGAAACACTACTTTTAA